TAATAATTTCGTTAGTCGTAACAATAATAAAATCTTACTTCTTACTAATATCAACTAGCTCTTGCTCGCGACTTCGTCCGTATGAAATTAAATAGTAAAAAATAAATATGCCATTATTGCACACTGATAACGCAGCTTTTTAATAGTGAAAGAATTTTTGAAATCGGCCCAGTAGTTTTTGAGTTGTTTTAATACATACAGAAATACAAAAATACAAATCTTTCCTCTTTATAATATTAGCATAGATGAGAAAATTTAGATGGATAGATATTGGTTATTACATATATCCAGATCGATTTAACGAATCTTGTTGATTAACATGTACATTAATAAATACATTAATTAATAATTAATTTATTAATTGTTATTTTTTAATTCTGTACGGACGGTGTCGCTGGCTATAGCTAGTCTTTAATAATCTTTTCTTAGCTATAATTAACACAAATAACAATGGTTTATCGATTCTCGTGTTACAATTTAACAATACCAGTTATCGATACGCCGTCATGGGTTTTAATTAATTTTAGATGTTATATAGCAATAAGCTGCGGTTACTAATTACTTCGCGAATGGGAATTGTGCGGAAGTGACGTTGAAAATGACAGTTAAAAAAGGTTTATTCTATTTATATTTTATTTATCTTTAACCTTTATCTAGCACTTTTTGCTTTATGACCCCATCGTTTCGTCGCATAACATGTCCATACTATGCTAACCTTTTGCTTCTCAATTTCTCAATACGCTTAAGAGAATGACTTCAAATATTAGCTCATAGATGTGTATGGAAGAGTACATATATATACTAAGCCAACTCTTCGTAGTAACCTGTATATATATGTACTCTTCCATACACATCTAGCAGCTAATATCTGAAGTCATTATCTTAAGCATATTGAGAAATTGAGAAGCAAAAGGTTAGCGTGGTATGGACATGCTATGCGAGACAATGGGGACATAAACCAAAAAGTGTTAAGATTGAATGTGTATGGCTACAAAGGTAGAGGAAGACCGAAGAAAGTATGAATAGATTGTGTGAAAGAGGATATGCTTAAGAAAGGAGTGGATTCAGATAGAGATGTATGGAAGAGTAGCATATACTGCGCCGACCCTCTGTAAGGCGATAATAGCAAGTGGATGATGATTCTCTTAATCATATCCTCTTTCACACAATCCATGCATATTTAAATGTTTTAATTCTGTTATTTATATGTTCTCTTTTACAGGTATTGCCATGGATTTGGCTCCGCCAAAGGATAGATGGTACCTCATATACTTGACTCTAGTTTTACACGGACTGGGAACATTAACAGCTTGGAATATGTTCATCACAGCTATCGATTATTTTGATAAATATAAAT